TCAATGTAAGTATGTCCCAAATATTGCGTTGAATCTACTTGTGCTAAACAATTTGTTTTCTCTGAAATTCACATGTACCTGGGCACCCTGTGTTTTATCTGGCAACCCTCCATAGAAACGCTCACATTCCATCCCAGAACTCCATGGACCTGATCCCCTGCAAGGTTTCTGGGGCTTCCGGAGGGGACCGGAGCCCCAGGCTCCCACCCCTCCCACCCGCTGCTTCTGGAGGCTCTCTTTTTATTCTGTCCCACTTCAGCCACTATGGATCTGCCCTGTTCTTTGTCTCTCCTTCCCCAGAGTTCCGGCCGCACAAGCTGTGGTGTGTGACCTGCTTTTACTGACCTTGATGGGAGGATGGAGGGCAATTGCGGCTCCGCTCAGAGCAGGAAACACACCTGTTATCTGTCAGATAGCACCGGTCCTGAATTCTGTCACTGTGCTCCCACGTGGGGCTCCCTTACTGGCCCAGCTCCCCACAGATCCCCTCCTCCTACCTCTGTTTTTCCAGACTCTCCTTCAAGCCACCTCCTTCAAGCCTCCAGCAAACCACAGACAAATCCCTGCTTCTTTAGTCCTCAGCATCCTTTAATCTTCTTTCTCACTTCTTCCCTATCTTGATTATTTCACAGGGTGGGTATGAGGTAGAAATTCACTTTCACAATTAAAAATGTCCTCTCAAAGTCAGACTTCCCAAGACTTGCCTGGTGGTGCAGTTCGGACTCCATGCTTCTGCAGGGGACCCAGTTCAGTCCGAAGTTCGGGAACTAAGATTCCCGCAAGCCACGTGGCACAGCCAAAAAAATAAACCAAAACACCAAACACCTGGGATTCTAATTCTGCCTCCCCACTTATTAGCTGTGTGATCTCAAGAAAGTTACTTAACCTCTCTCATTTTCCTCATCTCATAAAAAATGAGATGATAATTTTATCTCATAGGATTGCTGTGAAGATTAACAGTGTTAATGTATGTAGGAATGTCTAGGAGTTCATGAGACAGTGAGCACTAAACACAAGTTTAGTCTTATAACTACTATATTTCATCAGTTCTGAGGTGTACCTTTTTACTCTCATTCTAATGTCTTAATGATCGTGGTATCTTACAACAGCTGGGAGCAGTTGTCATTACCTGTGCATACTTAAATTTGGTCCTTTGAGTTTCATGCCTTCTCATTCCTACATCTGTTCAGTTTAATTGCTATTGAAAATGTCTTCAAAAAGTTACACTATGGTTTAGCAATTAAACAAAGTTATTTTGTGTACAAAGGGACACAGAAACAGAGCAGCCTGCCAAGAATATGACATGAGTGAAGCAAACAGTTGTTATTGAAGAATGACCACAAGTCTGTATTTTCTTGTAAAACAACTGCCAAGTGTATTATGGGACTCAAGAAAGGAAGAGTCCCACAAGTAGATGAAATTGTTGTTTTACTACTGAGAAAAGGGCAAAATGATTGCCAGTCACACATGAAGCAAGAAAACACCCAAGGTATGCTTACAGAGACATGGCAGACAATCTTGTAAGAAATGATGGATCACTACACTTCAGATGGCACAGAATGTGAAACTGTGTATAAAATATTAAGGACTCAACTTGGAATCAAAAAAGGATTTTAGGAAATTCAAACTCTGAATGTGAAGAAATTTTAGAACTCTTTTAGCCAATTTGTTTTGCTTATAATATCCTGTTTTCATGTGTTCATAAGAGTGACTTTGGACTAAATGCTATTGTTGCTCAGTTAGTCTGTCACGTCTGACTTTTTGTGACCCCATGGACTGCAGCACGCCAGGCTTCCTTGTCTTTCATTATCTCCCTGAGTTTGCTCAAACTCAGGTCCACTGAGTTGGTGATGCCATCCAACCATCTCATCCTCTGTCGTTTGCTTCTCCTCATGCCTTCAATCTTTCCCAGCATCAGGGTCTTTTCAAATGAGTCAGCTCTTGGCATCAGGTGGTCAAAGTACTGGAGCTTCAGCTTCAGCATCAGACTTTCCAATAAATATTCAGGGTTGATATCCTTTAGGATTGACTAGTTTGAACTCCGTGCTGTCCAAGGGACTCTCAAGAGTCTTCTCCAATCCATGGCTAATTCATATCAATGTATAACAAAAACTACTGTAATGATGTAAAGTAATTAGCCTCCAACTAATAAAAATTTAAAAAAAAAAAATAAAAAAAAAAAAAAAAAAAAAAAAAAAAAAAAAGAGTCTTCTCCAGCACCACAGTTTGAAGGCAACAATTCATGGTGCTCAGCGTTTTTTATTGTCCAGCTCTCACATCCATATATGACTACTAGAAAAACCATAGCTTTGACTAGACAGACTGTGGTCAGCAAAATAATGTCTCTGCTTTTTAACATGTTGTCGAGATTTGTCATAGCTTTTCTTTTGATATCTATGTAAATCTGAAAGACTTTTTTCAATAAGTACAAAACAAAAATTAGGAATAAAGTATTTGGGGGGTTGTTTTCCTTCACTTATGTTTAAAAACTATTTCTAAGATAACATAAAACCTACCACCCTAACCATCTATATGTGCACGATTCAGTGGTATCAGGTACATTCCCAGTGTTGTGTGACCATCTCACCATCTGTCTCCATGCATTTTTGTCACACTCTAGTTAGCACTGCATCACACAACTGATGGCATCTTGTTCCTCCTAAGACACGGTGTCTTCAGTCCCTAGGTTGGGAAGATCCCCTGAGTAGGAAATAGCAGACTGCTCCAGTATTCTTGCTGGAAAATTCCATGGATGGAGGAGCCTGGTGGGCTACAATCAATGGGGTCTCAAAGAGTCGGACACAACTGAACACACACACACAGCATACAGCATGCATACTAACCAAAAAATACATAGCTGAAACAATATTTCCTCTGTTCATTAAATATAATTAAGCAAAATTACTTTTTTTAAATTACGCAGTGCTGTGATCACTGTAAACAAAATGCAAACCTCCCCGGGTTGGGGCTCCTCACCAAATAGGGACCATGGCTAGAACCCTCCAGCTTCTCAGGAACACCTTCCACTCTGGCTCAAAAGGAATGCACAGGGACCTCCCTAGTGGTCCAGGGGTTAAGAGTTCGCCTTCCAATGCAGGGGACACAAGTTCGATCCCTGACTGGGGAACTAAGAGCCCACGTGCTGAGGCAACTAAGCCCACGAGCTGCAACTACTGAGCCCATGTGCCTCAACTAGAGGGAAGATAAAATGTATTTAAATAAAATATAAATTTTAATTTAAAAAAAGGAATGCACAGCCCGACTAGGGGCCCAGTCATGGCTGGCATCCTCCCCTCTTTCAGACTTGTGTCCAGACCAGAACATGAGTGAATCACAATCTCTCTGCACTTCATGTTGTAATCTGTAAAATGAGATTCATAAGCTAGACCACCTCTGTCTTAGAGTGGTATCTTACCACTGGGTTCTAAATTTATGGCCATGTGACTGAATGGCCAACATACACATGCACCGTTTGGGGGTGTGGATTGAGGGCTACGGAGAGAAGTCATGACACCTCTTGGGGGGTTTATTGGGAGGTAAGAGACTTTTCACTTGACTAGGTAAGGGGAGATCCTTCCCAGACTCATGGGTCAGCCACTTTCTCTCTCTCTCAAGGTCATGAACACTTTGATCAAAGAGGAGAGATAAGAACGTGTGTGTGGCCCATCCGAGGGCACACGGCATCACGGGGGGCTCCACTCTGTGGTTTCCAATCGTTCTCAGATTTCCGTTCCTGGGACTGTGACTTGCCCCGGGGATAGGAGGTAGAGCAGAGTCAAGAAGCTGGTTCTCTTAGTCTCACTTAGACCCTGATCCTGCCTCTGGGTCCCCAGGACAGGGAGCAGGGCTAGAGAGATCAAAGAAATGTGATGTGATGGGATCTAATGTCTCCTGGACCCCAGGTCAGGGCAGCATTGATGGCAGCAGGTGGCACTGCCCAGAGGCTGGACTGAGTGGGCCCTCAGACCGGGGAGTCACTTACTGCAGTCACCCCGAGCCCGCACAGCTCACTGCCCCATAGAAATGTCCTCCCACTGCGGCTTGGGTGGCTCCGAGCTCTAGAGGTGCCTAGAGCCTGTCACAGCTTCTGGGACCCTAACATGTGAGTTTGGGGAGTCTTGGTCTCTCCTGATGGTATAAATAATGCTATTAATAAAAGATGATATCAACTGACAGCTTGCTGTGGGCCAGGAGCAGCTCTGAACACTTTCCAGACATTGGTTCATTTAATCTAAACCCCAAGCCCACATAGGTTTATTATCCCCTTTGGAAATCACAGAGATGCACCATGGAATGGAAATCCACAGCTTCCTCAGTCGACCTGAGCTTGACTCCATCACCCAAGGCCAGGGTCCCAGCGCCTCTTAAACCATGCCCCCTGCTTCCAGGCTATGAAAGCTGCTATTTGGCAGGGGTTCCAGGGAGCAAGTGAAGCTTAATGATTTATGGATGACTGAATGCAAGAAAGCAAACACAGGAGAGACACGAAATCTTTACGCCTTGGAAGGTTCATGTCACACCAACCGGTTGTTTTCCATCCCCTGTGAGATGGAGGTCAGTCAGCAGGAAGAATATCCCGATCTCCAGAAGGGGTAGCACTGACACCCTGTTTCATGGTCAGTTCTGTAAGGTGTTGCCCTTGACTTGGCCAACAGTTTGAATCAGAGAGAGGGGTTTGGCAGCATAAACCCTACAGAATCCCCATAGGACGGGTGGGGGCGGGGAGGCCCTGGGGCAGCTGCCCTGGGATAACCTAGGGAACAAACACGGAAAACTAGGGGACGTCAATCCCTATCTGGAGCTCATTAATGGGGAACACTATTCAGCTGTGAAGTCCTAGATGGAGTGATAGGCATGCTGTGCCCAGGGCTAGGAGGTGGGGGCAGGAGGCGGCCATAGGGGAGAAGAGGTATCGGCCAGACTCCACCTACATCTCACGTGTCCAAATTCAGGATGGAGGGACCCTATAAATGTCCAAGACCAGCCTCCTCAGAGACCCTGAGAGAGAGACAGACAGACAGACGGAGGGAGAGTGAGAGCTGCAAGCTCCCCGCCCCTGAGACCCCTGGGCCAGCCCACGGAAGGCTCCGCAGCATGTGGGAACTCCGGTCCATAGCCTTCTCCAGGGCAGTGCTCGCAGAGTTCCTGGCCACACTCCTCTTTGTCTTCTTTGGCCTCGGCTCAGCCCTCAACTGGCCACAGGCCTTGCCCTCTGTGCTGCAGATCGCCATGGCCTTCGGCCTGGCTATCGGCACCCTGGTGCAGGCTCTGGGCCACGTCAGCGGGGCCCACATCAACCCTGCTGTGACTGTGGCCTGCCTGGTGGGCTGCCACGTCTCCTTTCTCCGTGCTGTCTTCTACGTGGCTGCCCAGCTGCTGGGGGCTGTGGCCGGGGCCGCCCTGCTCCATGAGATCACACCACCAGATATCCGAGGGGACCTGGCTGTCAATGCTGTGAGTAGCCAGAATTGTGTCCTTTCCACAAGAGCAGATTCTGGGAAGTCCCTTGTGAAGGATGGGATGGGAGGGACCACATGTGGGTGAGGGTCTAGGTGGAGAGACAGAGAGAGGTGGGATGGGGAAGGGGCAGAAATGCTGGAACCAGGAACGTGGCTGCCACAGGAGATTCAGCAAGGAAGGAGCAGTAATGTCAGAGCAGCAGCTGGGTACCCACGGGTCTGCTGGTACCTTCTGCCCTGAGCCTCTTGGAGGGAGAGCCACATTGCAGCAAGGGCTGTGCTAGGACTCATGGAGGATGGAGTCCCCAAGCAGACATGAATAGACTATGAAGAAGGAACTTCAGAGAGCTAGTCCCCAGCATCTTCCTGAGGGAAGAAGGACCCAACATTCCTTCAGCATCCACTGTGTACAGGGCTCAACAGCAGGGGCTCCATGCAAGCCACGGGTGGATAACTTACGACAACCTGTAAGGGAGGGATGAGAAGATCCATTTCTTAAGGACATGGAAGCTGAGACTCAGAAAGGGGAAGTACCAAAGCCAGTCTTTAAACCCAGGCTTTACTGTAAAACCTGTGATCTCTCTACCCCACCAATGTTCCCTAAGCCACCATCTAAGTCTTGTTTTGCAAATGAGGAAACTGAGGCTCAGAGAAGGGAAATGACAGGCTAAAATCTCTACAGTTTGTCAATATCAAGGAAAGTAGCAGAACCCAGGGCAAAGCTAAAGGGGAAAGGTCTCTCCAGACCTTGGAGAACATCCCCAGAGCCCATAAGCTGATGACATGACCAGTGGCTTTGGGAGCTAAGGGTGACGCTATGGCCCCTCCCCCTCCACACCCCTGCCCTCTACCTCTCCTGGGTCTGGGCAAGGCCTGGGCATCTGAGGGCATGGGTGGGAAGAGACAGCCTGTGTCCCTCAACACAGCTCTAACTCTTGCTCCTCTTCCAAGCCAGGAAGGCGAGTGCTTCTTTCATGTCTCAATCTCCTGCATTTCTTGGCCTTCTCTATCCCTGGGCCACTGGATAAAAGCTCTGATGTCTCTGAAGAGTCCTGCATGGTCTCTGTGGCCATCCCCTCCCCTGTATAGGTGGCCTTCCTCATGCAAGGAGCAGGGGTGTCCCAAATGGGGAACTTCTCTCTTCAAAATGGAAAATATGATGAGTCTGGGGGCTCAAGTTTGAGAGAAGGCAAGAGTGACCACTGTGATGGATAGACTGAGAAGTCTGACCATTTCCATTGAGAATGAAATTAGTTCAGTTTGCAGCAAGATGAGGTCTAGTTAAACTAAAAGAACTTCCTGAAAGCATGGTCAAGAAAGCCTCAGAATGTGTGGCTGGGAAATCTCTAATAGCAGGGCAACGGGAGTGCTAAGGGGCCTTGAGGACATGACCTCCTGCTCTTCCATCATCTAACAGTTGACTGGGGCCCTCAGGAGGGAAGGGTCTGGAAGGCTCCTCTGAGTTTCTGCCCAGCATTTACCATCTTGATGACCTGGTGAGAACCTTCCTGGCTGGAATGGGGCAGCAATGAGACTGACTTGTCCTGAGGCTAGCAAGAGCCAGATGACCCCCATGGCTGAAGTCAATGGAAAGGCCAGTCTGCCCACCAAGAATTTACCACTGATGTATATCTGCTTTGTGGCAGGCCAGATTTCATTTCATTCTTGGTACAACACTGTAAGGAGAATTCTGGGATCCTCCACTGTGAGTGGTAAAATTGAGGTCCAGCATTCAATTGATTCAAATCACAGAGCCGTGTCAGCACCTGGAAATGGACCCAGAGCTGTCTGGCACCAAACTCATGTCCATATGCTCTCCTTTAGACCACTCTTCACCAGGGAATGGGGCTGGGGCTCTGCCTTTGTCATTTCATTTGTCTCACAGTCCTCCAGGATCCATTCTGCTATCCCCATTTTACAGAAAGACAAACTGAGGCTGAAATAAATAGAGCCCCACAGAAAGTCAGAGGCTCCAAAGTATCTGCCTCCAAATCTGTTCACTGCCCCCCACTATAGGCTCTGACTTTGGAAGGTGAGAGGGAGTTGAGGTTAAACTCCAGAGAGGCCCAAGGGTGCCATCTCGATGGTTAGGATCCAAGGTGGGGGTTCAGAGCCTGGAGAAGGAGTATGGGAGCTCAGGGCTATCCCAGCTTTACCCAGCGCAGTGCCCAGACCCAGAGGGCAGGGTGTAAGGTTCAAGATAACAAAACCCAGAGAGAAATCCAGTACTGGGTGCGGCCAAGTTATGAAATCGCCTCTTCACTCAGCCCCAGGTTTTCTTGTTACAAGGTAAGGTCTGCTGGGACCATGGGCACCCCACATGGGGGTGGAGGCATCACAGTACAGGGCTCCAGGACCCCCACCTCAACCTCTGCAGGAAGTGCAGAGAGCAAATCCACAGGGCAAAACTGACGCTTGAATACAGTAGGAATAGGCAAGGTCAAGGGGAACAAGCACAGTTGTACACTGGGCTCCTGGGGGAAGGGAACACATTAGCGCCAGCCCCTGAGCCAGTCCCTTGATCCTGTTCCTGGGAGCCCTTTGACCATAGGAGGAAAGACCACTGGCCTCTCATTACACCAGTATCCTGTGGCTTAAATAGCGAGGAAGGCCTTCCTGTAACCAGGCCTAAAACTTCCTGCTGCAATCAAAAACTCTTCCCTCCCTGTTCTTCAGGAAACAGAAATGCCACATCTCAGTACCCCTTTCCTCTCACACTGCAGGCACACAATCCCAGTCACCAAACCTAAGGGGCTATGGAGTCGGTTTCCCTACCTCTAGCCTGGGAACCACAGGTCCATCCCCCTGCCTGTGTACCATGGCCCAGCAAGAACCCACCAGCAGTGTGGACTAAGGTGGCTGGTGCGCCCTGGTGGATTGCGCCCGGAAGCCTATCTGGGTCCCTGGCTGCAAGTGGGCAGGAAGATGACACCAATGTGAGGAGCATGCTCAGTGTGCCCCCTCCTCTGTCCCCAGCTCAGCAACAACTCGACAGCTGGCCAGGCGGTTACTGTGGAGCTTTTCCTGACACTGCAGCTCGTGCTCTGCATCTTCGCCTCCACCGATGAGCGCCGTGGAGACAACGTGGGCACCCCTGCCCTCTCCATCGGGTTCTCTGTGGCCCTGGGCCACCTCCTTGGGGTAGGTCATGGCCACTGATTCCAGCCTCCCTGGAGGGACAGACACAGACCTTCCCCCAAAGAAACAGATACACAGACTGCTCTAGAGGTAGAGACACAGAACCCCCAAAAGTGACAGCCACAGAGACACCCCCAGAGGGACAGATACACAGACCTCCCAAGAGGGACGGACACATGGACATACTCCAGAGGGTTTGACCCCAAGGCACCATAAAGGGACAGATAGCACTCCAGCTTCAAATGAATAGCATGCCCTGTAAATATAGCAGGAACTTAACTGTCCATCCATGAATGCCCTTTAGGTTGAGGTCAAGCACTGGAGATGGGAACAAAGATTCTGGCCCCATCCTCACCCCACTCCCCTCCCTGACTCCTGCCTCCACTGCAGATCCACTACACTGGCTGCTCCATGAATCCTGCCCGCTCCCTGGCTCCAGCTATCATCACCGGCAAGTTTGATGACCACTGGGTAATGGCCGAAACCTCCCTGTCTTCCCCTCCTGCAGAAACCCATCTCCACTAGAAGGGAGAGCAGTGGGATCAGCAAATCCACCCCGCCCCCAGTCCTCCTCCTGGGGCTACCGGGAGCCTTGGGTCCACCTTTCAGGTCTGACGCCAGAGACTCCGTTTCTACATCTACAAGTGAGGATAAGAGTGGTTGTTCCTTTGGCTTTGGGGAAAGATTAAGTGAGGTTACCGGTTTAAAAGAGATGACGCAGTGCCTTCGAATTCGATAAATGGTAATATTTATACTAGGCTACATATTTCTATCATTTAGCACTTTTCTAGTACTTTCTTAGTATGTGCCAGGACTTATTCTAAGTGCTTTGCAAATATTGACTCATAGGGTTTTCACAACAACCCTAGGCACTAGGTATTAGAGTGAGGAAACAGGCAGAAAGAGGGCAAGTAACTTGTCCAAGGTTACCAGAGAGTCCGCACCGAATTCGCCCCATTGGCCCCCAACTAACAAGTCTTCCCAGCTGCTCGCTCCTGCTCACTATTCACACGGAAGAGCGCGTTTGATACCCTTCACCGCGCGAGGCCCCCTTTCAACGCCAAAGGGGAAAGGAGCATCCCTAGAGCCGCCCTCTCGCTCGCCCCGCAGGTCTTCTGGATCGGACCCTTGGTCGGCGCCATCGTGGCCTCGCTTCTCTACAATTACGTGCTGTTCCCGCCCGCCAAGAGCCTGTCGGAGCGCCTGGCGGTGCTGAAGGGGCTGGAGCCCGACGCCGACTGGGAGGAGCGCGAAGTGCGGCGGCGGCAATCGGTGGAGCTGCACTCCCCGCAGAGCCTCCCGCGCGGCAGCAAGGCCTGAGCGCCCGGACGGGCTGGGGGAGCTCGCCCGCCCGCCCGCCAGCCCGCCGGAGCCCCTCTCCCCAGGCTCGAAGCCGGCCCCCAGGGCACAGTAGCTGCTTCCAAGACGCGCCGAGCGGCCAGGGCCCCGGGCACCGCGGTGAGCCTGGCAGATTCCCCTGGCTTGAGGCTGCGGGGCAGCAAGTAGTGGACCCTGCGGCGCCTGGCAGGGAGCTGGGGACAACGGCGCTGAGCTGGGAAGGAAGGGCGTAGCTAGAAGCCTCCTCCGAGAGCCTGCGCAAGTGTACTGGGGGGCTGGGGGACGGCAGCTGGAAAAGGTGCCCGAGGATTTTTTGCGTGTTCGTCCCCCAGTGCCTTTCTGTCCCCAAGTGCAGGGCTGTGCACACTCCTGAGTGTAAGCAGGTGTGCCTGCGCTGGCGCAAGTGTGCCCTGGCTAATCACCTCTCACTCCCTTCTTGACCCCTCCCTCCCCACCTGCAATAAATCCGCGTCCTCTGCAGTGAAGGCGTCCTGTCCCCAGGAGCGCTAAGCGCGCTCCCCGGTAGAAGGGAAGAGGGGGGTGTGGAGGCCACTCTGAGCGGGCTGGAGGGAGGCACTGATTGCCACTCCCGGCTCTGCCCCTTCAGGAAAGTTTCCCCAAGCTGCAGCACTGGGTCCTAAGATTTGCCAGGAACCCTCGCTAGAGGTAGCGAGGTTTCAACCAGAAGACTGCTCCCCCAGAATTGGCCTGGGATGGGAGCGGAGAGAGGGAAATTGAGGGCCAAGGACCTCCCTCCTGCCCTAAGAGAGGACCTCGCCCCAGGAAGAAGCAGGCATATGTGTGTATGTGCATATCCAGCAGGTGTACCTGCGACCCCATCTGGGAGGGGTGGGGGGGCTCCAGACTGAGAGATTAGCCTCCCACTGTGGCAGAGAAAACAAAAGGCCTTAGTGGGCCCCTGGCCTTTGTCTTGGGAGGAGGAAGATTTGCAACTAGACACTTCTTGAAAGGAGACACTCAGTTTCGCAAGTGAGCCCTCTCACCCAGCACACACCTACGGCTAGCTGGGCAAGGCACTCAGGCACGTAACCACAGGCACCAGGCAACATGTCCCCATCACCTATCCCACTTCTGGCCCCTTCCCAGGAAGCAGCTCTTCTTCCCCTCTCTCCCTTCCACCTCCCCAGCCCTTCTGCCCCCTCCCTTCTGGCTCCCCCCATAGGACCTTATTGTGGAGAGAGCAGCCTAGCACTCTCTAGGCCAAAGAAGGGGAAATGACTTGCCTAGGCAGAGACAGGTCTATGTCTAGAGCCGGGCCTTCTAAATTTCCAGGCCAGTGCGATGTTTCTCAAATGAGATTAACTGGGATTAAGTGAGATCATGCATGTAAAGATGCTGTGTGAACTGTAAGTCCTCATACCATTATCACGCATTAGTGGGATCATTTTGTTATTTCTGTTCCTGGGGGTGGGGTGGGGTGGGGGTGAGGGGGTGTGAAGAATGCAGAAGGAGCATGACCTTTGGCCTCCTGTACCTCCTTTAGTTGGTGGTTAAAGCAAAGGCAGGCCCTGGGGCCCCAAGGTACCAGCAGGAGATGGGTGTGGGGCTAGCCCCATCCTGATCCAGCCTCTTCACCAATGCCAACCCTGAGCCTGCACATTGACTGTTCTCCCCTCGCCTCCCCTCCTCCCACCACCCATGTCAGCCGTGCTCCCCTCCCTCTCCAGCTTGTTGCATAGCTGACCTAAGGACCACACCTGGTGAGCCCTCTTCTCCGTGCTCTGATGCCTTCATGCTTTCAAGGCTTTTCTCTGTGTCTGTCCCACACTGCACAAGCATCACTATGCACCAGAGCTTCCAGCCCCTTCGGGCCCTCCACTCCCTTTAGAGACAAACTGGATAAGGAACACATATCTGTAAGTATGCCCACTGCCTCCTCTAAGCTCTTTTCTGTGTTCCTTGAGCAAACCTTCCTTTGGGTTAGAAAAAGCCTGCCCTCAGTCATGGATGCTATGGAGATGATTCTCCCAATCCTTGAACAGCTGATGACAGTCACCTGGCCTCGTTCCTGGAGGAGGGGTCAAGTCAGAGTCCAAAGTAACCTGCAGGCTGTACTGCTGGCAGCTGGGTGTCCTTGCACTAGAATTTCAAAGGCAGCAAGGTTCTCAGCTGTAAGCCAAGCCTTGACGTGTCTCAGGTATTTCATCCCCTCCTCACTTCTCCCCAACAGATCCCTCTCTGCTCAGTCACTCAATAGTTTCTGACTCTTTGCAACTCCTGGATTCTGACCCACGAGGCTCCTCTGTCCATGGGATTTTTCAGGCAAGAATACTGGAGTGGGTTGCCATTGCCTTCTCCACAGATCCCTCCAGAAGTTGCCAAAAATTTCTCCCTACAGCTCTTCCTCTTCCAAGACGACACTGTCCCCTGAACTAAATGTGAGATCCCCACTGCTTCCAGCCCCGATCACCCAGATTGGGGTCACTGAAGTCAGAAGTCAAAGCAGGATTCAAGTGATGGGATGGAGGGGAACTACACCTATTAAGCATGTTTGTGTCCCATTTTCTGTGCCAGGTGGGGAGACAATGACGGAGAACACAGGCTGGTTTCTGCCCTCAAAGGGCACCCAGTCTGGAGAAGGGTGGAGGCCACATACCAAACCAGACAGAGGCAGGGCAGCATGGAGGCAGATGGACAGAACTCCAGGTCCCCAGCTGGAGAATGAGGAGATTCTGAGCTGAGGGGAGGAGGGGCTGGCCACTGGGCCTCAGCTGCCTCCACCTCTGCACTCCCACTTTGCTCCAGATGACTTTGCCCCTGCGCGGGTTGCTTCAATACTCTTTTGGGTCTTTAAGCTGCAGTTCTGTATCTGAGCAGTGCCTCCCAGCTAGACGATGAGCCCTCTGGGGGCAGGGCTCCTTTTGGTTCTCAGACGGCACCCTCCTCTCTATCTTCCCCCATCCGTCTTGTGTAGCACAGTACTCTGCACATAGTAAACACTCAATAAATGCTCACTTGTCAATAAATGCTGTTTCTGTCACAACTTAAAAATGGTCCATGCAGTCTGAGGAGCCAGAGGACAGACTAGAGTCTATGGCATGTCATGAGCACCCAGAGCTGCCGTGACGGGTGGTGCAGAAGGGATCTCAATGCCGAAGGAGCTCAGCTGGGAGGCCTGTGGTGTCCGAGTCCCACTGTCAGCCTGGCCCAAATGGGTATGCTGGGCTCACCCAGGGGGCACTGCAGGGAGGCCACCAGGACATGGGCTGGCTGTGTAGCCACCAGAGAGAGCGAAGGAGCCCCTTTTGGTCCCCTCGTACAGACTAGAGCACCATGTTGGGAAGACAGGGCAGGGACCTGGGAATACAGTTATCCCAGGGTCTGGGATAACACCTAACACTGAACATGCAAGATCAGCCTCCTGCTCTTCTCCCCAGACCTGCTCCTGCCATGGTCCTTCCATCTCAAGTGATGGCAACTCCATCTTTCCAGCTTGCAGCCAAAAGGCTTGAGCCATCTTTGACTCCCCATTCTCACACCCAGCCCTGACTCCATCAGGGAATCCAGAATCCTTCAAAGGGATCCAGATCTCTCACCTTCAGTACTTCCCACCAGGCCACTGTGTCCCTGCCTCCATGCCCCTCTCATCTCTTCTCAACACAGCAACAGAGGTGTCTTTTAAAGCTTTGTCAGAGGCATGCCTGGTGGCTCAGTGGTAAAGAATCTGCCTACCAATGCAGGAGACACAGGTTTGATCCCTGACTTGGGAAGATCCCAAGTGCCTCGGAGCAGCTAGGCCCATATGCCACAAGTACTGGACCTGTGCTCTAGAGCCCGGGAGCTGCAACCGCTGAGCCCACTCTTAGCAGCTGCTGAAGCCCGAGTGCCTTAGACCTGTGCTGCACAAGAGGAGCTCACACACTGCAACTGGAGAGTAGCCCCCCACTGCCCGCAACTAGAGACAAGCCCGTGCAGCAACGAAGATCCAGCACAGTCATAAAAAAATCAATTTTTTTAAAAACCTTTGTCAGGGACTTCCTTAGTGGTCCAGTGGCCAAGACTCTGCACTTCCATTACAGGGGGCATGGGTTCAATCCCAGGGCAGGGAAGTTATGCATGCCACACGGTACAGCCAAAAAGAAAAACAAAAAGAATTTTTTCAGCCCACACCAGTCCCCAGTCAGTGACTCCCTCAGTCTCTCGAGTAAAGCCTGCGGTCCTTCTGGTGATGCACAAGGCTTGCCCAGCTCCACCACTCTCTGCCCTCCCTCGCTTTCTCTGCTCCAGCAATTCAGGCTGCTCCCTCTGCCTGGAATGTTCTTCCCCTCCACATACATGGTTCTTTCCCTCTCTTCTTGAAACCAAGCAAGATGTTATGGGGCTCCTGGGCACAAAAGCCTTTCTGCGTCACCTTGTCTGAGTTCCAAAGGGCGGGTTCAAACATTTGCCGATCAGGCAAGGGAGGAAATGTAGAGACAAGGGAGGAGCAGTCAAGAAAGAGTAGTGCAGCCTTGGGAGCAGGGTCCTGGTTCCCCCTCAAGGGATATACATAATGTTATCTCTGAGCTCCTCTGCAGAATTAAAACTCATATCAGATAGAAGACGTGATGAAGCACTCCTCTTTCCAGAGAAGGTCACAGTTCACCCATCACCTGATGCCAGATGACCTCTGGATTAAAGGAATGTGGGTCCTGCACGCACCCTGATCCCTTATCCTGACAAAAAGACTCTTCACAGCCCCCCACCCCCCCGCCAAAGTTGGGAAACACAGTTTTGAGGGCATTAGTCCACTGTGGCCCCCTTTACTGGCAAAGCAATAAATCTCTTCTCTTCTACTTCACCCCAAACCCTGTCTCCGAGATTCGATTCAGCACCAGTGTACAGAAGCTGAGCTCCTGGCATCAGTTTTCCGTTCTGGGAAATTCCATTTGAAAGGCACCTGCTGGGGCAGAGGCCACAAGCTAAGCGGAACTTGGAAGCTGATTTGAGCCTTGTGCTGTTTGGTTTTTGGTTTGAGGCTTCTGTTGCTGGCAAGGATTTTGGTTTGTTCTTGGTCTGCACTTGAGTGTTCTATTGATCAAACATGGGAAATGCTTCATCTTCAATTCCATCTGATAGTCCTCTGGGGAAAATCCTGGCAGACTGATGGACCTATAGCTATGAACCTATGACTAAAAAGAAATGAGATCCTGTTGTAATTCTGTTTGGCCAATGTGCATTCTTAAAAGTGAGGAGGGGTGGCCTTTGTATGATCACCTATTCTTCAGCTAGAATGGCTTTGTCACAGGGATGGAAAGGCTGGGAATTCGCTCCCTTCCATCGTGGCCAGCCACTCTTGGTTCCTTGAGAGCCACTTCTGGGCTTGTTCTCCTTCAAGAACTGAGCTAATCTCTTTGGAACCCTCAGTCTGGGAGTGGAAGTGAAGGTTTTAGATTATACCTCCTCTGATATTCTATCTGTGTGACCGTGGCTTATCTATCATTTGTATTTGTGTGTGTTGTTTTGGGGTGAGCCACTCT